CCCACACCCACACCCACACCCACACCCACCCACACCCACCCACACCCTTCTTCATTAAAATCATTTTGATAATCAATTTGTTTTCGGTCAATTTTTAATAAAATAAATAAACTTCATTTTCCAATGCATCTTCAATTGCTTCAATTTTCTTTGTTAACATTTCATTAGTAATTATTTCTATTTAATAGAAACAAAAAAAACCAACTCGATTAAGAAAAAAAAAGATTCATTAAATTTACTGAATTTTTTTCGATTTTTGCGTTCAATATTTTTCGCATAAAACCGTTTTCTTTTAAAAATACGTGAAAAAACATAAATGATTAGATGACAAATATGTGAAAATATAATTAATAGTTGTGGAAGTAATGGTCGTGTTAAATAATAGCATACTAATGAATAATGTTGAAATTTCCAGAGAGGGAGAAAAAGAAATAGGCCAAGAGAGCAATATTTCTTTTTTTCATTCTCTCGTTCATAAGTCATCGTCCATGTTATCATTGATGATCAATAATCACATGTATAATTAACGTGTGAAAAAAATTAAGCTTTATCCACACACATACATTGAGATATTTGTGATCGAATATATCTCAATGTATGTGTGTGTCTAGATTAAAGCTTAATTAAACTCGACGTGTAATTATTTTCCGACGAGAAAAAAAATAATGAATATTTTCTCGCCCAAGAAAAACGATTTTTGAGGGGTATAAAAATGAATGATTTCCAACGGATAAATCATTCAATTATTTGAATCAAATAATAATTATTTTGTTTTATATTTTAGGTTGGCTTCGACGACACAAAATTATTCAATTCAACATCGAGCAATAAAATAAAATGTAGGTATCAGTTTTTATTTTTTATTTTTTTTTCTTTCTTTACGATCATATGGAGGGTGGTAAGTCCTCCTATGATCTTTTTTTATGTATTGTTCTTTTTAATTTTAGGCATTGAACAGTGAAGAAAAAGATAACAGTGGAGTAAGTCATTTCGTTGTTTTTCATTATATAAGATTGAGTAAATTTTTTTTTCGTTCCCTTTCCGCTATCAATATCATCGTGTCATCTTTATCATCAACAACACCATCGTCGTTCAACATGAATTAGTAAGTAATTGTTTTTTTTTTGAGAAGTGAATAATAAGGGAGAGCCGGACTGAGAATAGATAGTGAGATTGAGATTGATGAGGGTTAGGGTGAGACTAACGAAAGTGAGTGTTAATAGGGGGAAGAGTGAGTTATATCCGTTGAGGTTAGGATCTGTTATTTACAGACCTTCCTGGTAGGTCCTAAAACCCTGCCAGGAACTATCTTGGTGTTCGTAGCACACGATCGGGCTGTCCCAGATTCATTGACATATCTTTCGAGCGGGAGGGGTATGAATGATTTGAGTCTGTCCCGTGCGTGTATGAGAGTTACGCTCGCCACGGCTCCACCAGAATGGTTTCTGATCACGCGCGTGAATAGAATAGACATTCTTTTCATCAATTCAACATGATTTATTTGAGAGAAAAGAAAGAAAAAAAAATAATCCATCGTTTTGAGTCTATTCGAATGAAAAACGTTGAACACGACTTTTCTTCATATAGGCGACATAGAGATTGCCATATCGATCACAGGATAAGTCCCCGAGATAATCGACCTGATTCACCTCTCGTCTTCCACTCACAATGACAGTGCCCTGTTTCGCTCCTTGAGGCCAGCGCATCACTCGATTATTCCACGAGTCTGCCACATAGATGCTACCAAACGTATCAACAAACAATCCATTAGGATGCGACAATTGTGTCAGAGAATTCCCTTCGCCTTGACCCCCAGCGACGATAATTCCTTCTTTTGCACCTTGTTTCCATTTCATCACACGATGATTATTGTAGTCCGACACGTAGACAGTCTGTTGTTGATCGACAAAGATATAGGTCGGGTAGTTAAGTTGATTGAGACCAGCACCTTTGCCATTGCCACCAGCCACGAGAGTTCCATGCTTGTCTCCTATTTGATATCATCTTACTTCATGTTTCTTGATGTCAGAGATGTAGAGGTATCTCTGATCATCCATGGCCAATCCCGAACAATCAAAGTTGTCGATGAGGATTTCTCCTTCAGTTGTGCCACTACGACGAGACCATCGTACGACTCGTCGATTGTCTTGATCGCAAATAATGAGACTATCCGTCTCTTTGTCGATCAACACATCGGTTGGATATTTCAATTGATCCAATTGATCTCCTTGGCCTTGACTACCAGCTACTACTTGTCCATTCGTAGCACCCATCTTCCATGCTACGACACGATAATTCCAATAATCAACGATGATTATCGTTTGATCATCATCAACGAAGAGACCTGCAGGCTCGGAGAGCTGATTGGTGGCATCACCATATTCGTGACCTCCAGCAACAGTCATCCCATTCTGTGCCCATCGGGCATTGCGTGGAATATTGGGAACTACTACAGTGAACGAAAAACAAAAGAGATCGTCGTTGTCGAAGAGATCTCGTCTCACACGTGAGAGAAAGACCTATGAAGGAGATATTCGTCTTCTTTGAAGGGAATTTGGTAAAACTTTCAAGAATGTTCTTTCCGTAGATAAATATTCAGAAATCTTTTCCGAATTTCCTATGAGAAAAGAGGATTTTCGTACTAATTCTTACATCTATGTCACTTCTAGTTTTTGCCATGATCTTTTTGACCCTCAAAACTACACCTAGAGATTACTGTAAGGAGATTTTTCGAGAAAGAACAATGCTAATTCTATGTAAGCTTTTGATAGAAAAACATAGGAATCTGAGGATTTTATTCGAAATTACGAGAATTCAAAATTTTTTGCAGGATGATCATTTATATGAACATCAGAGAAGAATTTAAGCAATAAAATAATGAACTATGTGAAACTCTTAAAGTGAAAAAATCCAGAGAAAATTCTATCTACATCTTGTTAGGAGGACGTTGAATCGTTGAACAACAAATGTCAAACTTAATCTTTATGTTTTTGTGAAACTTTGAGGATTCAATATGCATCTTTTAGGATGCTTTCCACGTCATAGGACAAAAGTCCTGATCATATGATTTTCTAGATGATATCTGAAGATCTAGCGAAGCGTCTCTTTAACATTGGCATAGTGTAAGATATAAGATTTTATTAGGTTTTTACGTGCAAAGTTATCTCTAGCGCTTCGATGAAAAAACCTGACAGGATCCTAGGCGATCTATGGAATTTGATGACTTATAATTATCAAATATTGAGAAGACAAATGCTAGTCCTATCGGAGCTGTCCATAGGATAACATATGGATATATATTTTTTATACATAATTTAGAACGCGTGAATCTTAAGTGGATAGCTAGAAAAAATTCTACAAAGCTATAAGTAAGTTTTCGTAAAAATCAGCTTCAGACCATTGCATAAGATCCTATCGGGTATCACGAAGAATTGCAACATTTTGTGTCTTACATACATCTCAATTTAGAGAAAAGATAAAATTTGGAATTTCTTTTTGATAGATGCGTAATTCAATTTTCTACAAACTTGTATTTATCTTCATTTAAAACAACATGGAAATAAGATAGAGAGGAACAAAATGCAATTGAAGAGAAAGAAAAACGCGAAAAAGAAATATTTCAACATGTAAATAAACGATTGGATTATTGGAACGTTCTTTTTACAGCCTTAAAATAGTTGATATACTAAATTATTCTAAAGAGATAAGAACTCATGACACCTTCAAGCGCTTGAGATCGAACAAACAACGCTCACAAAAATGCGTTCTTTGTTAATTCTAGTATGTCCAGCATAAAATTTATATCCATATTTGCTTCTGTGATAGGAAAATTGTATCTTGAACATGTTCTAAAATTTTTCTTACAAGTCATTGCAAAAAAAGTTAGCAAATTATATGACTGTCTCAACTTTGATGTATAATCTATTTATTCATCTCTCTTTGAGCAAAATTAGCAAACATAGAGAGAAACCCAAAGATTTCTCCATCATCACGATAAAAATAAAAGTATCTTCTTAGCATTAATGGACTAAGGGAAAACTGAGCCTTATATAATTCCATGAATTCTATTTACTTAGTACGGTTTAATCATTTGTGAGATGATGAAAGAAACGTAGTTAATTTGCTGTTGTATCACAATTCGACTTGTTTCTTTTTATAACAATGCTGAACTTTAAAATATTCAATCGTATATGGTTTTTTTCCTCATTTTTGATCATATAACCTTCACAACTTCGAATGCTTATTCGTGTTGTGATAAAAATAAAATGATTTCATTAGCTCTAACACAACTCGATTCTCAAATAAATCAACAACAGATTGTTAATAGGATAAGAATAAAAGAAAAAAACATCTTGAAAATCTCTATGATCGTACAAACAAGAAAAACATGAAACGAAAACAAATATAACGATTACTATACAACATCGTAAGTAGATCAAATTACATTTGAACTTTGAGAAAAATAATACTGAAACGAAGTAAACTAATAGATGATAGAAACAGACATCAAGTCGCACATGCGTAAAAAAAAAAGAACAAAAATAGCCGGACATTTTTACTAACAGCCAATTCTGTATGATTATTAAAAAATTGACTTGCCATTCTGCTAAGAAATCAGAATGGTCTACAAATAATAATTCTCTCATCAGGTGTATTCGTATAAACATAAGTAATTGAACTAAAGATTCTGCGTCTAAATGCGTTGAATTGCTTTGAAAAGAACGAGAAATAATGAGTGATTGTTGAATATATTAAAATTTGTTCAGAAAAAGACGCGTTTTTTGAAGGTCTTGTCTGATTAGTTTGTTATTATCTTGTAATAAATGACTTATTACTTCGGTATTGATCTGACAGAGCGTATATCAAATTAAAAACTTAAAAGAATTTTAAATTTGATATAGGTTTCTTTGTCAACAAAATTCAATTATAATAGGTCATTTGTTACAAGATGGTACCAAAATTGAATTCTTATAAGAAATTCATCTAAATTATATTTCAAATAACCGAGATCCATCGGCATCTGGTTGTTTTCTGTCTATGCAAATACTCGATGAAAAAAAAATCAAATGTTTAGTAACATGTAAAGATGTACGATAAAAATTATTCTACATTTAAGAAGTTCATCGAACTATTGAACGTTCTGTGGAAGTAACATATATATATATATATATATATATATATTGTTGCATAGATTTCAGACCATTTTGAATTTTCAGTTTTTTCTGAACGTATAAAATTGGACAGATGTAAAAAATATACATTTGTAACACCTGAACTATCATGCAAAATCGATTAATAACAATGAACATTATTATTAAGAATGTGCGTTATTAGAAAACATGTTTAAATAAAGAATGGTCGAACAGTTTCGACACCTCTCTGAGTAAATGGATGATATCTATGACAAACTTATACATGGTCAACCGATCGAAGTATTTATTTTTATAGAGAAAGATGAGAAGTATCATCTGGAAAAAAAGCTACTTAAAAATACATGCATGTAGTACAATATTATGGTAATATTACTAAGCACTAATCTTGAGTGAATATTTTCGTCTTACATTTTTTTGGAAAAAAAACAATAAAAACAAATATGTTTTTTTTATTATAGATGTATGTTTTTTTTTCTCACAGGGATCTTTTTATCGGACCTATCATTTTAATGAAATAATACTCATCATATTTGTTGATTCCCTAGTGGAACTACTCATCAAGCGAGTACGACTTGCCTGCATGAGTACTCATATTACTCGCAGTAGTACTCGCGAAATTTTATGTGTATTTCTACTTTTCGTGTACTCTATCGAGTACTCAGATGAGTTCTTTCTCTAAAATT